GACACATGGGGATACTGAGACACTAGGGGACACATGGGGACACTGAGACACTAGGGGACATATGGGGACACTGAGACACTAGGGGACACAGACACTAGGGGACACATGATGACACACACACTAGGGGACACTGAGACACTAGGACACAGACACTGGGAGACCTGGGAACACTGAGACACTTGGGGATACTGGAAAACATGGGGACACTGAGACACCTGGGGACATATGGGGACACAGACACTAGGGGACACAGACACTAGGGGACACATGGGGACACTGTCACTAGGGGACACTGAGACACTAGGACACATGGGGACACAGACACTGGGAGACCTGGGGACACTGAGACACTAGGGGACACTGAGACACATGGGGATGCTGAGACACATGGGGATGCTGTGAGACATAGGGACATTGGGAGACATTGGGACACGGAGACACTATGTCCCCCAGCCAGTGTCCCTAGTGTCTCAGTGTGCCCAAGTCTCCCAGTGTCTGTGTCCCATGTCTCTCAGTGTGCCTAGTGTCCCCATGTGTCCCAGTGTCCCCATGTCTATGTCCACAACTGTCCCCATGTCTCCCCAAGTGTCTGTCTCCCAGCCAGTGTCCCCTAGTCTCCCAGTATCCCCTAGTCTCCCAGTGTCCCCTAATCTCCCAGTGTCTGTGGCCCTAGTGTCTTAGTGTCCCCAAATGTTTCAGTGTCTCCACGTCTCCCAGTGTGTTCCTAGTGTCTCAGTGTGCCTGGTGTCCCCATGTCTCCCAGTGTCCCTATATGTCCCAGTGTCCACACGTCTATGTCCACAACTGTCCCCATGTCTCCCAGTGTCCCCAAGTGTCTGTCTCCCAGCCAGTGTCCCCTAGTCTCCCAGTGTCCCCTAGTCTCCCAGTGTCTGTGTTCTCATGTCTGTGTCCCTAGTGTCTTAGTGTCCCGAAATGTTTCAGTGTCCCCATGTCTCCCAGTGTCTGTGTCCCTAGTGTCTCAGTGTCCCCATTTCTCCCAGTTTCCCTAAATGTCTCAGTGTCCCCGGGTCTCTCAGTGTCCCCAGTATCCTAGTGACATGGGGACACACTGAGACATTGGGACACTGGGAGAAATGTGGACACAGACACTGGGAGACTAGGGGACTGGGCGACATGGGGACACTGACACTGTAATACATAGGGACACTGAGACACTGGGTGACTTGTGAGACTGAGACACTGGGAGACAGGGAGACACTGGGAGCAATCCATCTATACAGCAGAATCAAACTGTGAGTAGTTTGGTGATTTTACTGAATTTTCTCTGATGTCACTCCTTGTGATTTACATCATGTGATGTCACGCATAACTAATTAATTATACAAATTATTAAGGCTGGTATTTTTTCCAAGAAAGGTGGCAACCTTAACTACTCTTCACATACTCTTGCTTAAAGGAGCACTATAGGGTCAAGAACACAATCATGTATTTCTGACCCTTTTATGTTAAAACCACCACCCTGGCCCCTTCTTGCCTCCCTAAATATAGTAAAATATTACTTGTATTCAATTCTGCAGCTGCTGGCTCAGAAGTGGTGGTCTGAGCAAATTACAATACTTCCCCATAGGATTGGCTGAGACTGTCAACCAGGCCCGGACTGGCCATCGGGCACACCGGGCAAATGCCCGGTGGGCCGCGGTGGCCATGGGCCGAGGCCGACAGGGGAGGTCCCAGGATCTCCCCTGCCGGTCTATGCAGGGCCGGCGCTATGCGAGCGCCGGCCCCGCTGTCTTCCATGGAGGGCCGGTGGGGAGATCAAAGATCTCCCTCACCGGCCCATTTAAATAGACCTGTGGCTGGGGAGGGAGGGAGAGGACCCGGCGGAGCTCTATCTTGCAGCTCCGCCGGGTTCCTCTCGCGAGATCGGGAGCGTTGCCAGGGCAACACCCCGATCTCGCGAGAGTGTTCACTCACCACTGGACTGCCAGGGATCGTGTACGAGTGCCTGTGCCCCCCCCCCCAACCAGCTACCACGGGCCTGCCCCCCCAGGCTAAAGGTAAGAAGGGAGGGGGGGATTTAGTTGTTTTTTTTTTGCTTAGTTTTTTTTTTATTGTTTATTTATTTATTTTTTATTGTTTATTTCCCCCCTTAGTTTTTTTTTGTATATTTACCCCCACTTAATTTTTTATTTATTTACCCCCAACACACAACATTTATACACAACACTCTCACACACTTCACACACATCATACACAGCACTCTCACACCCAGCACTCTCACACCCAGCACTCTCACACACAACACTCACACACACAGCACTCAGCACTCTCACACACATCACACTCAGCACTCACACACATCATACACAGCACTATCACACTCAGCACTCACACACAACACTCTCACACACATCATACACAGCACTATCACACTCAACACTCACACACATCATACACAGCACTATCACACTCAACACTCACACACATCACACACAACACTCTCACACACATCATACACAGCACCCACACTCACAGCACCCTCACACAAATCAATCACATACAGCACCCTCACACACACAGCTCACACCTCACACACAGCATCCATCACACACACATACTGCACCCCGCACATACACACACAGCCCCCCGATACACTGCATCACACACATACACAATACTTCCAAACATATTTATATAAACTATATATATATATATATATACACATACACACAACACCCCTCACACACACAGCACCCCTCACACACACACTGCACCCCTAAACACATTACATTCCAGACACACACTAGATCCTTTAGCCAACTCTGGATCATATACACACATACACACACTAGATCACTATATACACTCTGAATCCGTTATATACGCACGCTCACTAGATCTCCTATACATAGTCTGGGTCCTTCAAACACACATAAGACTCATATATATATATATACATATATATATATATATATATATATACACACACACACACACACACACTCTGGATCCCCTATATGCACACTAGATTCCTTGTAAGCAAACACATACTACATTCCCTGAACACACACTCTCTACAAACACTACATCACCTATACACACACACACACACACTATAGCCTATATGCACACACTTGCTATATCTCCTATACACACATTCTCTACAGCCCCTAGCCACATATGCATTACATTACACCACAAACACAACACGACTAAAACCGACCTTATTACACAATACCACACCACGACCAGCTCACTCTGCACACACGCAATACCACAAGCAGGCTCCAAACACATGCACAATACTCTTTCCTGGCCCTTTTGTCTCCTGGTATCCATTTATAGAGACACCAGAGACAAGTTGCAAGGAAACACAGTGCAAGCATGTTATTAAATTTGCTTGCACTGCGCAGAACAAATACAGGGCTTTTTTCTCATGCTAGAGCTCTTCAGCAGAGCTCTGCGCATGGTCTGCCCTGGAAGAGCATTGAACTAACATGCTCACTTTGAGAGGGGGCGTGTTTGTCATGAGTGATGACAAAACACACCCTCTCTGC